ATTAGACTAATGATTTTACTCATCAAGAACAATGAAATTGTTACAAAGGTTAAAAAACATAACAAATTGACATCATTCTATTAGGATTCTTTCATAACTCCCTAGGTATCTATTTTCAATTTTCATATGGGCCTTTTTTTTTGGGTAACGTTTTTCTTTGAAGGAGGGGAGGTCATTCTATACCTGTTTTTCACCGGTATAACTCTTTTGACATTTTTACTTTGGGTTCTACAGACCCAATTCACCTCATCAAATTGAAAGCTTAATTACCAGATATAAGGTGATTATCTCCAAATCTGTAACTTTAAAAAATTTTCCTTTATGATGGTCCCTCTAGGGACCTCTATTTCGAAAATGTCCAAATTAGTGAAACACATCATCTTTCAAAGAAACCATTTTTTAAACAAGAATGTTTCAAAGATAATGTACGGAAAATTTCATTAACTCCTCATGGCCGTGACTGGAATTCCTAGATTTCCTCACGTCTAATCACCATGGAAGTGATCAACAGAATTTAAGATTCCTTCAATGACCAATAATTTACATTTGCCTTTCTGTCATTAATACTTTTCAGATATATAGATGTCTTACCTCAAATAAGTGTGGTCTTTGTGAGATTTCTTTGATCAACTCCAAACTGATTTCCCTTCATTGTCAAAATGATATTAAGTGAACGTGAAAGATATTTCTTGACGTGTCTAGTGAAACCAGCCATATCGCTCAGATAATCTGTTTCTATCCATTCCAGAACACAATGGACATTGCTGTTTCCCAAACATATTTGTTACTTAATATCTTTTCCTTCTTTGTACTTGCTCATTTTGTAATTGAAAACCCATTTCCTATTTCTTTGTACGTCATGTTTCCAGCTTTAACTCTCATCAGAATCTTACTTCAACTTCTAAAGTTTCAAGTAGACATGCTTTCTTCTATACTGTGACTTTCTTTTAATGGACACTCTCTTTATACTGCTAAATATGGTAAAGTACTCATTAAGTTACACATTCTATGGGTTATTTTTCTAGAGCTATGATAAAAGATCATGACAAAGCAGCTACATATAAAAGGGTTTATTTAGGCTTATAGCTCCAGACTGATAAGCATTCGTCATTTTAACAAGTGATGGTCATGGTAACAGATGGGTGTGGTGGCTGAGACAGTAAACTGAGAATTTAAATTTTGAATGGCAAGCACAAAGGAGAGAGAAAGGGAGAATGCAAACTGGAAATGATGGCTTTAACTTCCCACAGCACACCACCATTAAAGTACTTAAACCAACAAGTGTGCGTCCCTTAAGCCTTTCCAAACAATCCTGGGAACTGGCGATGAGCCTTTGGAGAACATTCTCATTCAAACCAACACAAAGAATAATAAAAATAATATCAAATAAATAATTACATAATTATTACTTAGAATGCTCAGGTATTGAGCAAGTGAAAATGAGATAACAGCATAAAAATAAAATAAATAAAAAGGGAATGTGTAAATCCATACTAAATAATATATCCACAGAATACGATGAATAACAGAATTCATAAAAAGCCAGATGTTCAGATTTGTGAAGTTAGTAAACAAAAAAGTGCAAATCAGAGATCAGAGTTGGTAGACAGTGAATTACAAATATAAAGAAAGATTTTAAGCTTATCTATATGTTTACAAAAGAAAATACTAAATATCTAAAATTTAGATGTATGTTTGGATATATGACATAATCTCTGTTGTCAAAAGTAAATCATTTAATATCTACATTGTAAAATAGAGGTAGTATGAAATAAATATTCACACTTTTAATATTCCTCATTAAAATTAGATATAAAAAGCAGCAAAATTACAAAATACAGAAGTTGCAATGTCAGTTATAATTCCTTAGTAATCCACTTGAGATTATATAAATATGTATATATTTAATCAAGTAGCAATGTGTACAATAGTTTAGATAAGATTTTTACTATTTTTGTCATTTTGTTAAAAAAGATATTTTTGTTAAGTGATATGACATTTTCCTCTTACCTTCATGTACTACATAATTTATACATGTACATCCTACAATTATCAATCATATTTTTGAGAAAGTAGTGTATATAAATACGTAACATATTTTATTATTCCAGCTGGATAGTTTATTTACAAATAATTTTGGTCACAAATATTTTGAGCGCGTGCATTTTACAGAAGTAGAAAATTTGGAGATTAAGGAAAGATTTCAGAATTTGACTTTCATACCATTGTCATTATAAATAGAAGTTTTAGTAAAAGTGAGCTCTCCTGATACTCATCCTCTCTCAGAGTGATTAAGCAAGATTAGTTGTTCTTCCTGATTTTGGAAACTGAATACTAAATTATTGCAAAAGAATCAGTAAAATAAAAATCTATATTATTTAGTAGTCTACATTACTTATGACCATGTGTAGAACTTTCTTTCAGAATATACTGTTTCCTCTTGAAAAGCAGTCTGTTTCAAAGAAAATAGGAAACTGTTTCAGGAGGAAATAGTCTATTCTGGTAGAAGCCCTCTAAGACTCAGAGGGTGCTACAGAGAAGGCAGGATCTTTAAGAATCAGGATGTATGTAAGTAACTTTTAAGTCAGGTAGTCGCTGAAACAGACCAGAAGTACAAGTCATGTTAAGAAGAGTCAGACAAGAAGAGCTGTGGAAGAGACTCTCAGCCATATCCAGCTGTTGGGAGTTGGGTAGACACCACAAGGTTTGGAGCTTTTATGAATAATCACTCATGCTGTTGCTAACTGTGACATGACTGCCTTTGAGTCATTCATAGTCTTATAAATAACTACAATAACTCATTGAATTCCCATATAGAATTTTTCCATAGAAAGAATTTCAATGGAAAAATTCTTTTTTCTGTCCTCCATCACGAACATAGCTTACCTACCTGCAGTAAACAGACATTTGTTGTGTCAGGCTGCTTGTTTGTTTTTGGCTGCTCAGCTCCAAAGTAATCATACAAAAACCACATTATTTGCAATACTCTTTAGCCAATAGCTTAAGTATATTTCTAGCTAACCCATATCTTCATTCAACTCATCTCAATTAATCTATGTATTGCCATGGGGCTGTGGTTTACCAGGTAAAGTTCTGGCATCTGTCTTCATTGTGATTTCTCATTGACTCTACCTTCTTTCTCCCAGCATTCAGTTTAGTTTTCTCCGCCTAGCTCTACTCTACCCTATCATAGGCCAAGGCAGATTTCTTTATTAATTAAAAATAAAAGCAACACATAAACAGAAAGACTTCTGAGATCATTTCCCCTTTTCTGTTTAAATAAAAACGAACATTTTACCTCTAACATAGTAAAATTACACTAAAAAAACAGGTATCATGCAAGAATTACAGTTATAATATTTATATCTACTTTATCTTTTATCATACTTCAACTCCATCAAAGATTTCAGAAGGATATAATATTACCTAAATAAACAGGAAGCACATTGCAAACAACTCCCAAAACTTAATAATAACCAAAGACAGCTCACTGTCTGGAGAGTCATCCAGAGTTCTTCTGTAATGTTTCAGGCACCCATTTTCAGCCTATAGGCCCATAGTATCTGGTAGAATCTTCCATGTAGCAGGAAATTTTAAAGACAGTACTGCCTATATTGGCAGTTTGTCAGTCACCTTTTTCTGTGTCCTATAGAATGTCTTGCAGACTCTTCCATGAAGCAGGAACCCCAAAGGATTGTCTCACCTTTCGGCAAGATCATTATTCATTTATCTGTGGTTCCTAGGGGTCCAGTTCATACAGCATATCATCAAACAGTACAAGCAAGAGCATTTTTTGCCCAAATGACTACCAACCTCCAGCTGGAGCCTCTTCAATGCCCATCTTCCTCTTAAAGTAAATTTGTGATGTCAGGAGCAGATGTGTTTCACTGCTATGAAAAATTCCTAAATTCTTAATACATTTTAAATGCCATATTCTGAAGGCCTCTGATAGGTTCAAAAAATGCCTGTCTAACTAAAGTATATCTCTATATATCTAGAAAACTTAACTGACATGCCTACAAGCATAACTATTATAGACGGCTATCTATTAACCCATATTTCTTAATTATACACTTTCAAATGAGCCGCACAAACACAATACCTTATCAGGAGCAGAAAATACATATCTATATAGAGCAAAATTATCTTAAATTTGTATCAATGAGCCGAAATCCATACCAATGCAAATCTCTATAGCATATTCTTCTTTATATATAAATGAACATCTATAAACAATATTTAAGAATTTGTTTGTAGTTCTCTCTTCTTGCTGTTTATTGGGTGAAATAATTTTTGGGGGTGTTGATGGTGAACTTTTAAAGAGTTCTTGGTCCATCAAACCACATTAGTATGGAAGGATTCCAGCACTTCTCATCTTCTGTGGAAACAAAAGTAAAACCTCTTTTCCAAAGCAACATATCCTTAGACTCAAATTTTGATGTCAAGATACTTTCTGTTAGTTTAATTTAGCAGTTCATACAATGAAATTTCTCTCATTACTTAGCTCTTTAGCAGTCAAAAAATTCAAAGAAAATACAGTAATGTACATAATCCACACTTCCTGTGTATATTTCATCCTTACATGCTTATTTTCCTTTTCTCCTTTTAATTTAGACTGTCTGTATTCTTTGTCTTTTTAAAGACTTTACTTTTTTTAAAAAATTACTTCTTTTTATAACTGTCTATATTCTTTTTCTTCTCTCCCCTGAGTCTATGTCTATTTATCTAACACTGTGATCTATTTAGAGGTCTTATTCATCTGGACTTATCTTATTCATCTGACCAGAATTGCTTTTTTTGTCTTTTATTTATTTATTCATTTATCTATCTATCTATCTATCTATCTATCTATCTATCTATCTATCTATCTATCATCTATCTATCTATTTATTAAAGATTTCTGTCTCTTCCCCACTGCCGCCTCCCCTTTCTCTCCCCCTCCCCCAATTAAGTCCCCCTCCCTCATCAGCCCAAAGAGCAATCAGGGTTCCCTGCCCTGTGGGAAGTCCAAGGACCACCCACCTCCATCCAGGTCTAGTAAGGTGAGCATCCAAACTGCCTAGGCTCCCACAAAACCAATAGGTGCAGTAGGATCAAAAACCCATTGCCATTGTTCTTGAAGTCTCAGTAGTCCTCATTGTCCGCTATGTTCAGTGAGACCGGTTTTAACCCAGGCTTTTCAGACCCAGGCCAGCTGGACAAGACTAGAGACAATGCAGCCATGCCTGCTTGTTCCGCCCAGTCCAACAAGCCTGAGAATGTTTGTTGCCTCTGAGAGCAAAGCACATTGCTTCAGTTTTAGGCACACAGCGTGTCTTGGTCTCCATTAAACAAGTTGTTGCATCCTGTCCACAGACCCCATTTAAAGGCTCAGTCTACTAAAAAAGCAAGAGTTAGTGCTGGCAGCACAACCAGGAAGCCGCCATTTCAAAACCACATAGTTATTTTGTTGTTGTTGTTGTTTTCTGGTACCTCTGAATCAGGAAGACCTCTCTTAAAAGAGCTGCAGCATGCTGCCAGTAAGTAGAGCCCATCTGAAAAAAAAAAAAAATAAACAGCAGCTAAACTTTGTTGTTTAAGGTCTAGAATTTCTTTCTAAGCTTTCTCAGGTTTTATGTGGATTTAGCTAGCACACGTAGGAGCACCAATCTGTAGTGTTAGGCTGCTTGTTTTTTTTTTTTTTTGGGCTGCTCAGCCCTAAAATAATCACACAGAAATCATATTATTTGCAATACTTTTTGGGCAATAGCTTATGCGTATTATCTTAAATCAACCCATCTCTCCATTATGCTGGTCATCACCAAGAAGCTGTGGCTTACCGGGCAAATTCTGGCACTTGTCTCTGGCGGGGATACATGGCTTCTCACTGACTCCATTTTCTTTCTTCCAGCATTTAGTTTAATTTTCCCAGCCTAGCTCTTCTCTACCCTATCACAGGCCATGGCAAATTTCTTTATTCATTAACCAATAAAAGCAACACATAGAAAAAAGGAAACCCTACATCACACATTGATAAGGGTTTCTGAAGTGTGATACACATGGTTACAATTTTTCTTTTTCTTTTTCCAGTGAGAGGTAAATAAAAGCTATATTTCCTAAAAATGACTGCTTTTGGACATTGGGTATAATTGGTATAGGCTGAAAAGTATATTCAAAACATTTTTTTGTCAAAAAGAAACATCTAAATATCAGCTTTTAAAAATCCAAATTAACCTGAGTAAGAAAAAAATACAGCAGACAAGGAAAAAAACAGTCAATTATCAACTGGAAAATATGGGAACATTGCACAAATTTCCCAGAGAACTTGCAAGTAACTTGTCTACATTATAATACTATTGAAAAAACTGAAATAAAGTATCAGCAAACAAAATTTTAGGAAATACTTAGATTTCAAAATTAAGATTGATATTTTCACTAAGGATAGATATTGCTGAAAATGTTAATAATAACAATTATTTTAAAAATAATAGCAGATCCAAGAAAAGTTCAAGCAATAATTCCACATATATATGACATCGTTCCATTGTGTTTGAGATCGGTTGCAAAAGCTCCACTATTTCTCATATGATATTACATCCAAAATGGTCATGCTTCCTAAAGTTGTCACTGGAACTGAAATATTTTACAGCAATTTCGCACCATCATCACTATCACTAAAACTGTCTCCTAATAGCTATCTGTTAATAGTAAGCAGATATTAGTGATATAAAATGAGTCATCTATCCAAAACAGTACTGAATGGCTATTAGGCAATAAACAATACATGCTTCTTTTTGCTAGTAGCACTCTTTCGTGCTTAAGTCATAGAGAGTAAATGAGCATAGAGGTGTAGAGGTCAATGTCGTTAACGTTTCCCCTCTGAAGCCTCCCCTTGGAGAAGCAAATGGAAACGCAATTAATGATACATTAACAGTAAAAAGTTTCCATTTTGCAGTTCCTCTGCAATTCTTTATGATAAAGAACTCAAGCACTCCTGCTGGTGATTGCTGTGTAATTATTATTTTTACAGAAATATAAGATTACTTTTTTTTAGTGATTCCTTTAATAGATGAAATTTAAAAGCCTTGTTGTAGAAAGTATTAGTATGAACAAAACCCAAAAGTTAGTAGTTGAATCCTTCTTAAATCTGCCTAACATTTGAGGTCTGATCTACCAAGAAAGAGAACACTCTTCAATATCAGGAAGTCATTTCTTCAATAATAGACAAAATATCTTCAGCAGGTCTAGTTCTTGAGAGAAGTGACTTGCATGATAGGGTGCATGGGCCCAGATACATCATCAAAGTTCTATGCTACCTCCAGTAAAATTACAGTGAGCCTTTCTTCACTGACATGCATGTCCTTTTATCCCACTTCTTGGGTATTCTAACTCCTTTCCTGTGATAGTCTGATATCCTCTCCAACTATAGTTGTTCAAAACATGTCTTTAATCACACCATGATCCACCTAAAAAAATAGTCATTTTGCTTATTTCTCTTCTTCTGGTTGGCAGGGAAAGAAGTGAGATACAAAATATATTCATTGTACCGGATGTTTATTCAATATGTTTTCTTGTCACATGTCCCTACTGTTCTGCATGGCTTTTATGTTTAGAAATATTGGTATATTTTTTAAAGAATAGCCTGAATATATCAAATACAATCTTACTTAGGAATATTGAGTATAGCATAGGAAAGCCACTAACACCAGTGATTGATAGTCATCTTTCATAATGCTAACATTGCTTACTAATTCTCTCAAGAGTTCACATCCACACAGTATAACAGACTATCTTCTCAACATTGTTATTACTCCTGAATGTCCTGAGAAACTAGAAAATACTGATCAGAAAGCCAGACTAGGCATTTTTTTGTTCTGGTTATTATCATCTAATAATATCCCTTGAAAAAGGTTTCTTCTTTGATCTTGGTGTTTTTTATAAATACATTTTCTTTTTTTGTCACTGGAAGACTTTTAGGACATATTTTATTTTATTATTCCTGATAGTTTACACAAATGTCATCTAATTGGGTGGCTCAGCCGTTAAAGGCTAGGCTCACAACCAAAAACATTTTCTTTACTGTATATCTATGTCTTAGTTTTCCACATATTCTAGAATGAGTAGTGTAAATAGTATGTTTTATTATTACATAAGCTACCTACTAACAGAAGATAATTATGGATATGATATATATTTTATTAAAATTAGGAAATATTTGAAAACCAGAAATCATAGTTGTATGCACATCATAAGATTGCTGAGTGTAACAAAATAGGTTATTATAAATTAGTTGTTGAGCATACCACTTGGGCTATTAATAAACATTAAGGTTAGCTATCATCATTATAATCATCACTGTCTTCATTATTTCAACAATCCAGGTATCTCTCTCATCCTAACACAGAAATATTTACTTATCACATCATTAATATATGTAACTCTGGAGTGGAAAGAACAAACTTTCTCATTACCCAGCAACAATGTTTAACACAGAATCAAATTAAATCTATATTTGGAAGCATTGTTCAAGGATTCTTTATTATTTAACAAGTGCAAAATGGCAGCCACTGGCAATCACACACCATCCTATCTTCTGGTATTAAAGCATTGCTGCAAATAAAACAAAGGATAAACAATAGATTTAATTGCATTCTGCTAACAAGCCTGTCAGATCCAAAGAATGTCTCAGTTGTTCATACCAAAATTTTGTGAAAAAGTATGCATACAATTAAGACTTGAAAGCAAACAGAAAATTGACACTATATCAGAAAGCACCTTGTAGTTGATTCAACTTTAATTTATTTATCCAATTAAGAAAATAATCACTGGGACATTACAAAGAATGACATTTGAGTCCTCATTTTTATTTTACTATTTTCATGTTAATAAAAACATAAATCTATCTATAATTCCTTTTCTGCCTCTGTTAAGTTTGTCAAGCCTCTGTTAAGCTCAAATAAGCCCAAATTCAGTGAGGATTACAGGCAAATTTTGCTTTCTATCCTAGTCTAAAATGTCAAATGTATTTTTTCAACTCCATGGTATTAGCATAAGCATTCTTGCTCCTTTTTAAAGTTTCTAATATTTAGTAGTGTCTTGATTTTTACTTGGGTATTTGTTATCTACAGTGTCTCAGGAGAGAATAAATTGATTTGCACTGCATAAGAAGCGAACTTCACTTACTACTCTGCTTCCAGTTATGTTATATTGCTTATTAGTAAGTATTTACCCCAGGAAGAATCACTGTACAATCTTTTTTTCATGCCATTCATTTTTATTATTTGTAACAGAAATGGCATTTCATGCGGACTGACAATGACCCTCTCTGTTTGAAATAGAGCTGTGAAGAAACTTCTGCTCCACAAACTCACATATGTTATATCTTTTCAAATTATTAATAGTAGCTATTAGTTTATCACCATACATACATGTACACATACAAATACACACAGAAAGAAATGTGTGAACATCTCACCACTAGCATTATAGTTGAAATTGAGAGAGAATTCAAGTTGTTGTCTTTAGTTCAAGAAGAAATTTATAAGATTTTACTAATCTCACTAGGAAAACAAAGCCTGTTGAGAAACTCTTCCTTGGGGAATTTTCTTTTAGAGCCATAAACATTCTAGCATAAAGTGAGAAAACAAAAAAAGAAGTATATTAGTAAGAGTGTTGGTACGTGCCTTGGCTAAGGAATTGCGGTAATGTTAAATATGATAAATTCCTTTATAATTGGGAAGTCCACTCTGGGCTAGAATCCAAGGGTTCTGGAGTAAACCTACCCTCACAGATCTTAAGGTCTGTGAAACAGGCAACTGCATAAGAAGACACAATACAATACTATTCTTATTACAACTGAGAACATATAGAGGCTTTCATAATATAGAACAGTTCTCAACTTGTGGGTTACAATTCCTTTTGGGGGTTCAATGATCCCTTCACAGGGGTCACCTAGGACAACCAGAAAACACAGATATTTATATTAGGATTCATAACAGTAGCAAAATTATAGTTATCAAGGAGCAACAAAAATAATTTTATGATTGGGGGTAAGCACAACATGAGGAACTGTATTAAAGGTCGCAGCATCAGGAAGTTGAGAACCACTGGCACAGAGTAACAGGGTGAAACCAGAACAACCT